GGGCTGATGACTCACCCAGCCAGGTATAAAGTGGTGGCAAATGACACTGGTGGCAAATAACACATATTCGGTTAAGAATGCGGTTAAGCATCCAAAGGCATTGACGATAACAGGGGCACTTTCAAGGGCTGTAGGACGGAAACTGGATTTGGCCCAGCCTTGTGACCAACTCCAATCGATTTCTCGTGGCCAAATACCCCATATTATAGGGGAAAAATAAAAAATCCTCGAACAGAAAAAAGTTTGCTTGTACATGCGCTTGTTTTAGATTATAAGTTTCCGTTTCATTTGTGTCAATCACCTGTGAGACAGTGTAATGTTAAAGCTTTGAATCCAAAAGTACGACAGATCCACAAGTGAGCATATTCAATATGGTAAACAATTGAACAATTTTATTCTACCTAAAAAGTTAGCTCAAACGTGTACAATGGGTTGTCTACGTAAAAGTAGTACCCAAAATCAAAATGTTCAACGGTTCACGGACCTGAAACATTAAGTAACTTTAACCACACCTTGGGCCCTTTGATGATAAATAGTTGAACGGTAGTCTAGGAGGCGGACTCAAAGTCGGGAGGTCATGTATTTAAACTGAGAGTCGGACGGGCAAAAATAGAAACGGCTTGGAAACCCGACCCGCCTGCCCTATTTTACTTGTACAGTCTAACCCGCTGTGGTTAACATGGTTAACTTACACAGCAAACCTACGTACTCACACATAAAGGTAATATTTACAAGTAATCTGCTATCGTTTATAAAATCAATCGGTCTAATATCAACTTCACAAGAGCTTTAAGAACCCTCATAGTTTACATGCCTCCGCCTCGATACAAAATAGATAAGTTTAGAAAATCCAAAAAAATCATCGGGTTATCTCAAATTTAAAAAGGTTTTATTTTATAAAAATAAAATTTTTAAGGTAATTTCTTTGTCCTATAGTTTGGTGAAGACGTGAATTTAGCTCTTTATCCAATAGTCAATGCTAATAATACACTGTTTAGATAAGTAAAGATGCTTTAAAGCCTTTGAATTTTTAAAAAGAAAATTGAATTTCTAAAAACTGAAAAGTGAAATTGCAAGTCAGTTGGCTGACTCTAGTGAAAATATCTTAGTCGGTATAATAAACAGTTTTCTGTCTTTAAACATACATCGCAGCCAAAGTGAATAAAATGACAAATTTCTGTCTTCACTTGTCAACATTTTGTTTTAGGTATTGTATAGTTGTTTTGAATTTCTATATAAATTGTACAACTTAAAAATCATTGTACTGTATCATAGTTTTCACGATGATAAGCGAGAGATGATTATAATTGATGATTATAAATAGGACAAAACATATGCAGTCCTAATCTTAAAAAATAGATAATGAACTTAAAATAAATTTGTTTTATTCACTGTGAAAACATTAATAAATAAAAACCTAACAAATTACAATACCATTTGAATCATGGCTTTTTACAGTTTGTAGAAGATAAAAAAGCAACGCTTTAGACGAGTTCAGTCTGTATTAAAACTAGAAGCATCCAAAGTTAGCATATTAGCTTATTCATATACAATTATTAAATTATTGGTTAAGCTTATTGATATACAATTATACAGTCATCTGGTAGTTTAAACCAATCTAGGGGCATGCATTGTCAAAATTTAATTTTACATATTAGCATAATACCAAAGATTTTTTCTTTTAAATAACTCCTTTGGCTATAAACGGAAAGATAACAACAGTTTCTATATTTTAACCATAATGATTACTAATGAAAATGTTATTGTAACAATACACTAATTCCCGAAATAAATATCAAAATGATTATTAATTTAATCAATCTTTATCATTTTGACTGCCCAAATACTGTATAAGAAAACATTTATTGACTTTAACTAAAAATCACATAAAAGTTTACAGCATTTTTAACGTTAAAATAAGTGTCAATTATTTATTATTTATTGTGTCTCAGTTCAGGAAATTTAATTTGCAAAAGATTAATATAATACAATTTTTGATTAAACTAAAATATTTTGAATACATGTCAAGTTCAGAGGTCAAGGTCAACCGAATTGACAACGGTTTTTAGTTACACTTGTTACTTTTCACATTTTATGGATTTCAATTTAATTTGTATAAAGTACTAGCTAATCACTTATTTTAGTTACACATTACTAAAAGTGATATACTCGTTATTTAAAATATTTCTATCGTTTCATAAAATGGTTGAACTATTTTAATAACTAACATTGCAGCATACATACTTCAATTGACGCATTTTAAAATTTCTAATTTTAAAAAGATATTTATCATGGTGATACATTATTTTTAATTTATCCATGTACGAGGGCCTTCTGGGCGTAACCAAATAATTTGATTTTTTTACTATTAATAAGCACAATATTGAAATTCTAAATTTGTATATTTACTGGGAGGCCAGAGGGTTTGGAGAAACGCGAACTTGGTAGAACACATTTATTTAACATATTCATAAAAATAGAAACAAATTTAATAATATACCTGTTGTTTGGATACACAACAGCTCTACATAAATATTATTGAAGATTGAACCATTTTTAACCAACAACATCATTGTAAACGACCTTTAAAAAATGTTTAATATAATATATTTCCACACATCAAAAAATATTTAATAAACATTTACACAATGTTGTCAACAAATAGAAATACTTCATAACTGAATAACTTTAATTTATAACATTAATGAGTTTGTGGTAAACTATGGACTAAATAAAAAAACCAAATATATCAATGCGATAGTAGACTTAGTAAATAAAGTTGTACTATTAATTAATTACTAAAGTAACTGATATAGGTACCTCATAATAATTCAGAAATAAGTTAGGCCTAAATTAAGAAATTATAAAAATTGCAATATAAAATCTTTATTAATGTGATTTGAATTAAAATGGGCCATTTTGTTTAGTGTTTTCATAAATTCTACATAACAAGTTAAATAACCCTACTTATAATACAGTAGTACATATACAGGGTGAATCACGTAAGGTGTCCACTATTGATTCCAGACAAACTGTTTGGTCCCACAATGATGAAATTAAAAATGTCCCCACTAGACCAACCCCAAAGAATAATTTTAAAATATTTGGAATGATTGTCTAATAAGGTTCACTAGTTCAAATCTTACCATTGTCAGAAACAAAATATGTCATAATATACACAAATGTAAAACTCTTGTAATTACAGACATTTTAGGGAAATCATATCTTTACTATTGGCTTAAAAACTGTGTATCTTTAGGTTTAAAGTATGGGACTATTTTGAATACCCTATATTTATCTTCAAAATAAAGATATTTCTAATACGATTAATCGTTTGCATTCCTTATGGGTTAAGCTTTAGTTTGATGTGCAATATTACAATAAAATAAAAAAATTAAAATTAAAAATAGGCTTACACTTAAAAAAAATATTTACGTATTAAAAATGTAAAGCCTCGGATTTAAAATAATACGGCTCGAACGATTGTGATTCAATTGTAGTATGTTTTATAGCTTTTATCTGTAAACAAAACAGTACAACGCCCATTTCCGACCGTTTTAAAGTAGCCCTTTCAGTTCAGTTCTTAGAATTGAAAAGTTTCTCATAACAGCATTGTTTACTTTCACAACAGCATAGTTTTACAGCATAACAACACGGGTAACAGACCAATGAGATTGAAAGAGAAGAAGTAACATTGTAATGATTCGAATTTCAACTAATCAGCTGTTCAGGGCAATTTAATTGTGGAGTGGTGAGATTAAAGTTTGGTACAATTTTTCGTTGCCTCCCTGTCAGTGGCAATGAGAGGTTATAAGCGAAAACATAACCTATCTTAGAAGTTATGAGTAGTGATTTTTAGTAATTATAACACTGTCGTAAGTAAAGCAACTACCGTAATTAGTGATAACGCAATCGTTGCGTAAACTACTATACAATAACTGTAGGAAAAAATATAATGTGTAACGTGAGTGCAAAGTGCCACTTCGCACACTAGACCACAAATAACTATTCCATAAGGCTAAATATGCAGTGAAATGCCAACAGTGGAACAAAATAAACAGCTGATAGAAATAAACAATGGTGCAGAGTAAGCTTCTTTTTTAACTACTGCTGTATTGACCAAAACAAACGTAGAACAGCTGTAAAATTTACCAAGGTATTCAATGTGAAACAATATAGTGTACGATATGATACCAGTGCTTAGCTAGCAACGGGAAGAGGACACGGAAAGAATAGCACTGTTTAGATTTGTTTCACGAAGCAGTTACATGTTATACAAATTGTTGCATGAAATAATTGTACACGTGGCGCTGATGCGTTAGTGAAAAGATTAACTTGCTTAAAAGTATAGACCCACTTAATTTAATCCCATACTTATATATGTTATGTCAATCGATCCAAATTATTTTATCCATGTTGTGGCAATAAAATCAACTGATTGATGTTCCATAAAATAAAGTTGCTTTACCTAAAGTTTTCAATCTTATTCAAGCCTTTTTACGCGTATTTTATTATAACTTAAATTGTAAAGATAATCATGAACACAATTTTACAAAACGCTTACTACCTTACTTTAACCAAATATAACCCTCTTAGTGTACCATCTTAACAATTTCCAAAACAACAATCTTGTCAAGTAAATAAACAACACTGTTAATTGTATCAATAAACTGTTTATCACTTAATTAAACTTTAAAGGATGTATAGAACTCGATCTGTACTGCAAAACCCATGAGGGAATCCGTTCATACTAATAATTTTCGGAAAATCTACACACTCTAAGCTACATTTTGGTGTGTTATACGGCTATATATTTTAATTTTGTTAATTGCCTCAAATGATGTTCACAATTTTACCTTATCACTTTTAATTTTTCGTTGAAATTTTACTCACATAAGTTTATTGGCACTGCATTATTAAGCTGATATAATGTGATATAGTGTGCGATTTAATATGTATAAATTAGAAATAAATAGTATATAATTATTTTAATAACTCACCCGTGACCTCAACTCTCGTTCGCTCTCCAAGTCCTCCTGGAGGAGGCGGATCTTGTCCTGGAAACAGGAAGGAAGAATAAGAACAATTCTCAACAACATAGAGTTTACCTTAAAATACAGTACTGATGAAGTACAAATTTTAAGCTCTGCTATATGGTGAGCCTACATTTAATTGGTACTGGTTGTCTACTAATATTTTAGTATTAGTAGCTATCATTAGATTTAAATTTAATGAAACCGGAATTTTAAATTAACTACAAGTTTAGATAGTTTACAAAGATTTCGTTTGACAATTAAAATCAACAATGAATTTTGATGGGAATTGAAAATCACTTAACTGTAGATTATCCTTTTAGTGTGAAAGTAATATCAACGCCAAATAAAAGAGCATTCAAAAAGCAAAAAGTTCTAGCTGAACAAGTCAACAATGAGTATCATAAACAGCTGATTCTGATCCAAACAATAATATTAGTGGAGAGGGATCTATGTAGGATTTCACAACAAATTCTACTAACAAATTTCATTTGTGGTTGTGTTTATGGCTAGAGTTTTGCTAGTTTATGACTAATGCCATATCGTTAAATGCTTTATTTTGGAACTATTATGGAATTCGGTATAAATAAAAACAACAATACCTAAATTGTAAACAAATCTTAAAAGTTATATAGTTCAAATAGATTCAATTGTCTCAAAAGAATGAATTATATATCAGGGTAAATTAAAATGTGCTCATAATACTAAAAATGAATTTAAAATTACAAAAAAAATTACATGGGCGTATGGGTTCCCTTATGTTGACGAAATAACATCGGAATATAAACATAAAATCATAACAAAGGAAGAAATTCCAAACACATGTTTTATTTAAAGCGTGGTAAGAAAATAGAGAAGCCTGTACATTACATATTCTTAGTCGAGTTTTCGACCACTTGTCGACCTCTAGTAAATAAATAAAACCATTGCGTATGGAAGCTGCAAGTAGACTTAAGTCACTTTAATCTGTAGTCTGTTTCTATGTGTGGTTACGTTTAATCTTGTTTATGTCGAATAACTTTTTAGCGAATTCTATTTATTTAAAAAGGAATTTTAAATCCTTCGCTCCCTTGGTATGAAGAGTGAAAACAGCTGTTTATAAATATATCGCTTAGTTAAATTAGTTAACAATTTGGTGAAATAACAGGATAATCATTTGTAAACATCAACACGCACTCTAAATATTATTGTTGATTTTTTTAAGAACAAACCAAATTGTATCACTTACGTTATAATTTAATGTGAGCCGTATTTTGTCACGTTTTCTGTGTGAGTAGTAATTGAGTAGTAATATTTGTTAAAAAAAAATACATACTTAAAAGAGATTTTTAATATTTCAAAAGTCAACGTAAACTATTTCTGCGACAGCGCGGTTTAGCACGGCGCAAGGTATGCAATATGGCTACACTAGGCAAGCTGCGTTTGGCAGAATCCGTCCAGTCTATTTCGGTATAGCAATAATGAGGTTTCAAAAACACATTCTGATTCACCTACTCGCCTACTTACGTGTCTCTTGGAACGAGAACAAGTGAAAAATAACTATCAGCAAAGATCACTCGCCTAGCTATAAGTTCTCTTAAAAATAAAATTTAGAATGAAAAAAAAAATTGAAAACTATTTCAGTAAAAACACTTTGATATTTTAGATTATTTTAAGATACAAATTCAAATAATTGGAAAGCAGGACGATTTAATTACAATTATTTGTGTATATAAATTTACTACCGTAGACATAATTATATTTTGGAAGTAAAATTGTAATTATAGTAAGGCCAAATGGTTGATTACTGAACATTACTTTCTGTGAACTATTTTCTAGTTTATAAGTTCATTTTTACTTTTGTGCATTAGTAAATAAGTTTATTTGTATTTTTTGTTCACTGGAAGTGGATGTTCATGATTTTTATTACTTTTTGTCGGTAATAAACTTTATTTTGATTTGATTATCTTAACTCGTTCTAGTTATTTTGACAAACCTTTTCAATTACATTTTAACTCTACTTATGGCTAGAGTTATAAAATACGAGTTAAAAGTGAGAGTAAAGAACAATAAATTATTTACAGATCATTTTTTTATATTTGTTATATCTAGGGTTGCCAATTTTGACTAATTTTATGTTTTCTTAGGTTATAAAGTAATTATAAGCTGGACAGATTACCGTAAGAAAAGATAATACGTAGATAGTATTTCATTAGTATATTAAGTTTCATAAGTCGATTTCCGATGTTGTGCAGGAATTGACTGACAACTATCACGTTTCTAAATGAGACGGACAATTCAAACTATTATAAACTTCTTACAAGTATGCTATTTTCCAGGTATATTTGGACAAAGTATGCAACTATCTACTTCGAGTAAATCAGGGTTGCAACTGTTAGAATAAGATAATCAAAATAAAATACATAAGAGTTTATCTTTATATGTACAAACCATCTAAATAATTTAGTTTATTGTTTTAATCCTTATAAAAAAATCGTCTACTCATGCAACTCGTGCAATGTTTAAAATGTGTACATTTCACTACACACACCTCAAATGGCTTCTATCCCATTTTCTAACCCAAAGCGGTCCCAGTTCCTCAACACTTTCACTCTACTATTAATCAACCCTTATAATGGCTAACGTTCCTTAATATCACAACTAGTTCATATTCTAATAGTTTGATACCATGCACTTGACTTTCGATAGTTAATATAACCTAATACACACGCATATTCTAATTATTCTTACAAAGTTAATCTATGAAAATACATTAGACGTTGCAATAATCTCATTACAATTTAACGTCCCTAGTGTAGTTGTGAACTGAATCAGATCATTTATGTTCTTCACTACTCTTTGTATTTTGCTTATTCTATTAAGCTAGTTTAATTGTTGTCTACCATATTTCTTCCAGTTATTTAGACTCTTCTTACATTTTTCGTTCTCAAAACATACGTGTTTTTATAATTACTAATCTTGCCCTCATTAACGAATACACGTTAACGTATTTACTAGTCTCTCCCTATTCTGGCCTAATCCTTCCTTAGAAGGGCTTTTATTTCAAATCTCTAATACACTCTCGATTCTTAATTCATAAAATAGCCCCTTAGATTAACTACATTATATCAAACAACTATTAGATTGGCTAAACAGTTTCGCCTAATAAGTTGTGGCACGTTAAGGATACAACCCGATAATTTACGAGATAGCTTAATCATTGAATATGAACCCGTTTAAATGTATACCGATGACTCTGTTGGTATGGACTATGAAATGTGAGATCAAGGTAGGTGGGTCTTGGGTTCGAGTCTCAATTCCGCAATTTAAAATTCATGAGAGTACAGTTCGTTGTGTGCCAGTTCAACCTTGGCTGGCTTTCCATGTTCCACGCACAGACCTCAGAGACCTGTACCTGTATATCTAAGGCTAAATCAGCCCACCAAATGTTTAATATCATGGGGTTTATTAGGATACCGTCAACTCTTCTACTTATGTACCGATTCTGCAGCTGTTGTCCCAACTCATTCTAATACCATTCCCTTGACCCCAGGTAATTCCTATTATTTTAATTCTAGTTTCTAACTTCATTCCCACTTCACTATTACTTTATTCTAACACACTTTCATCGAAAGCTACTCATTATCTACTAAGTACAATCCACAAGTTTTACGTCTTGTTCAACCCCTAATCTTTACACTGCCTATATAATATTGGACCTTTTAAGGTTACTCCTCCAGAATCACTTCATATACCTTAGAACCACCCTTACTTTCTACCCCTTATTTTCCACATTTTTTCAACCCCTTACTTGTTTCAAACACACCCCTTTTACTTTTTCAACCCCGAATCAACCCCTTCTCCAGAACCACTCCCTATACCCCCCCCAAAAAAAAACCCATCTCGATTTTCTTTCCCCTATTTATCAGCACGTTTTTTAACTCCTTGTAATTTTCAACCCCTTTCTCCAAAACCACTTCATATCCCCTTGAACCTATGGCGTCTCATAACTCTTTCCGCACGTTCCAGCCTAATTTTCTTCTAAGCAATCTACTCCTTCAGAATCACTTCCTATCTCCTAGAACCACTATCGTCTCCTAACCCTTTCCAACTCCTTGTACTTTTTCACCTCCTTCTTCTACCCTCACTTCCTGTCTCCTAAAACCACCATTCTAACCTTAATCTTTTCACACCTTTTCCAACCCCTTGTAACTTTCCAATCCCTTCTCCCCTCACTTCCTACCCTCTTACCTCCAGCCGTGTCAGCGCGCTCAGGTCGGCTGTGTACTCGATGCTGACGTCGGCGTTTCCTCCCCCCGTGGACCGGTAGGTGTAGGACTTGGTCGTCTTCGTATGAGACATGTTGTAGGTAACGTTAGATCACTCACACCAGATACACTCGGGCCCACCGACGTCAGGGAATGTCGCGCGCTCGCGGGTAACGTTCGTCTCAGGCTGCGTCGAGACGTTGGGGGACTTAGCGCAGGCGTCGCCCCCACCACGGCCCCCGCAGTAAGCCTTACCGCCCCAATGTGTCACGCTCCCTTTTAGAATGCGCAACAAGTGTTGGGGGTGCTTACAGGAAAAGTAATTAGCGTTTGTTATGTTATTAGAATTGACAAATTAGAATAGACATCCCAATTCTGACACAGTTCTGGGTTGCTGAGAGGTTATGGTGTTCGCCTGACAAAAGCTTTCCGGATTGATCCTGAGAAAAGTCAGGGCTTTTTGATAGTTAGAAATTGGACCCAGCTGTTCCTAATCATTAGTGGCTAACAAAGCAGCTGATATTAACAAAGCTACAAGATCAAAATTCTCTGAACTGAGGCGGTTATTTAGAAAATAAAGGAACAGAAGAAAATAAAAGAACATAGCATTGCAAAACGGTTGAACTTGAAACTGAAAATTAATATTGTAGACAATAATAAGTAAATAAATACTAGAGGTCGTGCAGTGGTCGAAAACTCAACCTACAGATTTCTCTTTTTTCACTCCACGCTGAAAATAAAACATGTGACATGTGATTAGAATTTCTTCCATTTGTTTTTATTTTCTGTTTATATTTCGTTGTTATTTCGTCACCAGCATGGCAACCCATAAGCCCCACGTTAATTTCTTTTCAAATTTCAAATTTATTTTTTGTACATATTTTTTGCCTATTTTAATTTGTAAAGGGACTCTGCTCATCTACAGGAAAATATATTTCTAACAGTGTGCGTGGATTTTAGATTTTTCCTGCGATGCACTCGAGCTGAGAAAAAGGTTTTCAAGAAACAAGCTTGCCTATTAATATATAGGATAAACAAACTTACGGTTTATTTGTTTAGCGAAATGGAATAAGATTCAAGTGTTAAATTACTGTAAAGAAAATGGACTAAGTAGACCAAATATATACTGAGTTTCAGTTATCGCTGAATAAACATGTCAAATTACCTCTTTAAAACATGGAACCAATTTTGAACCACAGAGAAGATCGTTTTCAACTCCTAGACATCAAAAGAAATATCCATCTTCTTAACGGTAAGCAAGCAAAGCTGTGACAGAAAGTTAAATGGCTCGTGACACACAAACTAAAGTTTATACAATATTTACAAAACGATTTTAAGCCAGAATAAACAAATAAAGTAGCATGTGGTTTTGCCAGCCGAAGCTATGCCTGGAGGTCCAATACTAGTGGTTCGGTGGTACTCGGCCCAAAATTGGAAAAGTAGCTCAAGATAATTTACGAAAGATTTTCCGAAAATATATTAGTACAATATAGTATCGATATGTCGAACTATTAACACCAACAACTGAAATCAAACACTACCAACCTACTAACTACCACTACCAAAAATTAAAACTATACCTAATCGCTAGGCCATACTACACAGTAAAAAAAAATCGTATATGAACACACATTGACAAAACACAAAACATAAACAAACCTTGAAAATGGAAGAAAACTGACGTCCTCGCAATCAAACGGTCTTGGCTAAGACACCAGTAGTAAGTAAGTAAGGAGGCAACAATAAGCTAAAACCGATTGAAACAATCAATACATACTTTCGATACATGCGATTGACTACAATATAAATGTACAGCTGAGTTAACAACTTTCACTCCTTAGATAATAAAAATGCTTTTTTCCCCTAGGGAGAAAAGAGCTGCTTTGGACTCGCAACGCCTGTGTAAAAACCGGCTGTTGCTACTGTATGACGAAATAGCCTCATTACAATTTCATTACTAGGACCGAAAGTGGCATTTTCCGACGCGCGCTCAAGTTTCACAGGAAAACCTAATTTCACGTGCAATGCGAAGCCGAACATGTGAGAGTTATTTTCACGCCTCGTACGGGAATAATGGAGCACGTGTCGGAAAATAGCTTTCGATACGAGTCAATGAACGATACTTTTCATCACGATGCAAAAATACACACTCACAAAATAGCATCTCAGTAAGGTTTATAATTTAAGGCTTGTCTGAGCTATCCTTTTTTAAGTTAAAATAGTTTTAGACTACTGTTTATCATTGAAAATAGACGTCATAGCGTACATCTATATGTTTTCAAGATTATAGATTTTTTAGATAAATATTTAAATAAATACTTCGTCACTTGCTTTAATAGAATTTACATTTTGTAATTTGTACCGATTTCTATACTTTCTCTATTCTTCTTCTTATCACCATGTCAAAGTAAAGTATTACATTATGTTTACCGTGAATTATCTGGTGGAATGTTATTAGTTACCTCTGAAGCTGTTTTCATCAATCATCAGTTATGTTAGACATACTTTGAGCAATTTCAAACATACCATATGCTAAAACACAGCAAACCAAACTTATGCCTGTTTATGTATTCATTTAGACTGTACAACAATGAAAATGTCAGATTTAAACCATTAAAATAAACCTAATAAAACGCTAGTGAGCGTAGTGGATAAATGGAGAACTAATTGAGAGGGAAAGTAAATTTAGAGCGAGGGAAAATCTGCTGATCGTTTTCCCTTACTCCAAATTAGAGCTTGGGAGACAACTTTTTTCTTTGATATCAGCTGATATCGTGAAAAGTCGCTTTTGGTAAGGAGTGATGAAAAGGGGATGAATAAAAAATAGTTATTTGTGTAACTAGTGGTGAAAGTGGCACTTTGCTGCACACGAGAGCAATGTTTACGCACGAGCCGCAGGCGAGTGCGGAATGATCTCGAGTGCAGCAAAGGCCTTTTTCACTCGTGTTACACATTATATTTTTCCTACAGTCACTATAAAGCATATAAATAATTAGTCTTTCAAACACTATACAACACGTTTTTAGGTTCAGCTGGCAACACAAATGGTGCCCTAGAGAAAGTAGTACCCACGGTTCGTATCACTCCGCTATTTTTCCTCGGCAAGAAATGTGCTCCGCGTTTTGAAAATATAGTTCCGTATGTTTTTGTAATTTGAAGTGGTTTCCGCGCCTAAAAAAAATGCTTTAAAGGTATTTCCTTGATTATTAAGATCGTAGGAATGTTTTAAAAACGTTTAAAAGAAAAGTCCAGAAAGTTCAGAAATACCGAAACTATAAACACGAAATTACAGGTTAAATCGTAGTTATAATAGTCAATCAGCTGCTCATAGTATAATTATCTTTAAGTGTTGCCAACCTATTTCCAAGCGTACACGGATTACGTGCATAATAGAACCACGCTGTTTTGTGTTGTTTCGTTGGAATCCTGATGTGCGGCAAAGTATAAACCGTACGACAAAGTATAAACCGTACGGCAAAGTATAAATATGCAGCAATTAGCAGCTTTCTGTACTATAAACAGTACAAGGAAGCCAACTTTGTCGGGTGACTGTAGGAAAAAAGTATTTGACAACTCTAAGGCTCTACAATTAATTGTAAAGAACTCCATCATCCTCCGCACAAAACGTGAGCCTATACCATAGGTAAAACATATGGCATGTTTTTTCTATGCCTATATTGTAGAAACACCTGCACGCGTCAGTAATCTATCTCCCCTTGGTCACTAACCTTTTCTTACCGCCAGTCATGAGATGAGAGGTCCAACACCTCCCGATATAGCTGTCACTGTCCTGCCAGGCCTGCAGCATAAATAAGGTTATTGTTAGTAACAGTGTATTTTTTCCCACCACTGCATGGAAATTATCCTGTTTCAACACTTGCAAACAGTCCACAAAATAGCTCATTTTCGCTTTATTCATTCCCGCTCGCTAAATCAGTTGATTTCGCCGTTGGCGTTTCAATAAAACACTAACGTATCCGGTAACCAAATCACTTAACCTAAACAATCAAACATAATCTAAATGACATTTTACAAATAACTAATAAGTTAATTTGTGTTTTATGATAATATTGTGGCGGTAGAAAAATTGTCATTTCCGCTATCGTAATGTATGGCCACACTCAGCTAAAGCATCTACAGTTGTCGAGCGGCAATGACGTACTTTGCGCTCTTAACACCAAGGTACTTTAAAACAGATAAATTAAAATAATTACGAACTCATATTCTTTTAAACCCCTAACAAATGGCACCGTAGATGTGCAAGCTGAGAGGCTGGTTTAAACTGTGTTGAATTCAAACGGATATGTGGATGACACGTCAAAAAGTGTGCTAAAAATTTCAGGAAAACTCATCATTCTACAACAGCTAAATACCTTAGAGACTCGTTTTTGAAAGAAATGTAAAAACGAAATAGGATTTGTTGGTATAGAACAGACAGAGTATCTTACAGTACCTTGCTGCAGGGGATGGATGCAATGGATGAATTAATCCTATCGTAAAACATCTATGTCTAAACCGTAAAAAAATAACGTTATCTATAGTAGAGTAAAAAGAGAGAGCAAGAGTTGAAAACGAGTCTTCATTCCTTGGACTGTTAGGGCTGAATCAGGATGTTGTGAAAAAGGCTTTTGTTTAAGACATTAAAATGCCTTAGCTGATAAATATTGCATTCTTGATCTTCGGTCATTTGTGTATTGCTCTTTAATTTTTGTTTGGATGTATTTAAAATTGTGAATAATTTTCAAATAAAAGAAATACAAATGTTTACAGATTTATATTATAACAAATTTGAAGTACATATTTCCTTCAGTAAACCATGCTTGCAGGTTACTTCGTGAAAACGCTTTGTCTGTGAAACCACACTACTGTGTGCATTAAATTCACAATCATAATTTTGAGATGTGAAATATAATTTTGTCAACAGCATAGCTTGGCCAGGTGAGATATCAAGTTTATATTCTCGTTCTCCAGCGTAGGAGAGATTTCAGTCCTCTGTGCAGAGTTGTGGTCAACGGCCAGAAGATTGGGGGATATTTCCGTACATCTGATTTCACCCGTTTTAAAAATAACACGTGTCATAAAACACCCGCGACCGAGGTTCTAGTCTTTTAGCAGCTGACTTAATCAAATTGAGCGGAACATTTACCAAACTACTTTTGCGCGAGGCGAAAATAATCTGCTGCAGTTACATTGCCGTC